GTGTGTGTGTGTGTGTGTGTGTGTGTGTATGTGTGTGCGCGGGTGTGTGTGCGTGTGTGTGGGCGTGTGGGCGTGTGTGTGTGTGTGAGTGTGCCGGGGGGAGGGGAGGGAGGACCCCTCCCCCACCAATCAATCAATCAATTAATCAATCAATCAATCAATCAATCAATCAAAAAAAACAATCAATCAATGATTTTTTTTTTTTTTTTTTTTTTTAGGTAGTCACCAAAAACACGCCCCCCCCTAAAAAAAAAAAAAAAATTATTTTTTTATTTTTTTCGGCCGCAGTCTCATAGGGGACTACGTGCATCGCCCGCGCGCGCGCCGATTTCCCGCGCGCGCCCCCACTTGGCCGTGGTGCGGCCGCGCGGCCTAGGCTGCCGGCCCGCGGCCGAGTCGGAGGCGGCCGCGGCCTAGGGGGACACATAGGGTGGTGGTGGTAATCAATCCAATCGTCTTGACTGTGAGGATAGCAATTGTCGCCGTAATATGGCGGGAGCGGACAGGAGCGACGTCCAGGGAGCCGCGAACCGCGCTCAAGTAGCCGTGAGTGGCTAAAGGATCATCTCAATGAACCATCAAATGATACTCCACCACGAAGACCCCCAACCGTTTGCTTTGGATGCAAAGTCGTGGGGCACTAGCATAGTGACTGTTGGCGTTTTAGTCAAACGTCGAAACCAGAAGACAGATGGAGGAGGATGGGCATACTTGCCCTCCCGAGTTCGATAGGCCAGGGCGTTTTGAGGAGGAACATAAGGAGCGGGAAGCCGAACGTATCGAGAAAGTCTGTGGTAATCCCTTTGATACCCTGACAACGCGTCTTGACGTGCTCGGCCAGAGCGTGGCCTCGCTGAGTAAGTTTGTGGGGTGAGAGATGGCACGGAGAACTGAGAAAGAAAAGAAAAAACGTGAAAAGGAGGAACGTAAGCGTTTTGAGGAGGAACATAAGGAGCGGGAAGCCGAACGTATTGAGAAAGCTGCTTTGGAAGCACGCAAGAAAGAGGAGGAACAACTAGTCATGGCAAAGACCGTTGAAATTCATCTTTCCTCACGAATCGACAATATCTGAGATGAGATTCGAAGTCAAATCCGACGTGCCATCAGTAAGGATAAAGCTGCGTTTGTCGAGGATACACCTTTGACATCAGGTACTGCAACAGCCAGTGAAGAAAATATTGTAGCTATTATCGAAGGTATTGAGAAGATGTTCATCGCGGAGAAAAGAAAGGGGCGAGGATGTGGTTGTGAGTGATAGCCCACCAGTTACGACTCCAACAAAACACACTAACAAGCGTTCCGGGATCGTCTTCAATGAGCTCTCGCTAAGTTGTCCTTGAGGCGCGTTCGGGCTCTGTCGAAAACTCTCACAACTGTGAAACCACTCGCTCCTACTGGCCTTTTTGGACCAAACTCGTCGGGAGCTCAATCGAATGGACTAAGAACGTGTTTGTAGCTCGTGCCGGAGGCAAGGTGTCCCATACTCCACCAAGATGCAAGCAATCTTCTATTTGGCGGATCGACGAGCGGCGATACGCTTCGAAAAAGAGGAAGAGCAAGGCGTCGTACTGGTGACTACCGAAGCCGACCACGAAGAGCACTCTAGTGAAGGTGCCACCGACACTGCCAATGAGTGAAGCCACCTCACGATCAAACAAAGGTGTTTTGTTGCCAACGTTCTCTTTCCCTTCTGTACTTTGAAGAAGGGCTTTGACTTTGATATCGAACCTCTTTTACGTTTGCTTGTGTTTTTTCTGGCGTTGCATGGGTTTTGCCGTTGGCTTGGGAAATGAGTTGGCTCCTGGCTTAAACTATACCAACGTTTTGGCGTCGATTTCGTTAATCACTCCAATTGTGTGTACGTAATCACTTCGCTGATCTGTCGTTTGCAATATGTTGGCCAGACTAGTCGTTGTCCGGATATTCGTTGGAAGGAGCACGTGTCCGTTTGGTATAGAAAAGCTAACTCATTTGTATCGTTGGCGACAATCTTTTGGATGAGAATTGTACGTGCTTATTCCTATTGATGTTTGTGACGTTAATGATCTCCTTTCCCTAGAATCACTGTATATCCAGCAGTGGAGACCATACCTGAATACCTCTGGTAAGATAGGGAAAGGTAAGAAGAACAGATGGAAGGGAAGGTGCAAACGATGCACGGTGAAATCAAGGGCAAGCGAGCCATGCGGTTTCACCCCCATTCGATTTCGCCTCTCTTACGATGATTTTTGGTCAATTTGACTCTTTGACTTGCTTAGTCAACAGACAGAGAAGGGGAATCGCTGTTTTGACCTCATGATTGAGGCAGACAACACTTGGCGCGACAAACAGCGTGTGATTAAAAAAGCATTCGCCTTCCCTACTGTCACCATCAATCATGTTTCCGATCATTTGAAAAATTTCCGTTTGTTGTTGGAAGGTGATTCTCTTGTGCAGTTTCAATACCTTCATAGATGGACACCAAGGACTAACGCTCATAAGCCTTTTTCGATTTCGAAACTATGGAATCCCAAACGCGCCGAGTTAATGAAGAAGCGGGACTTGGAGTCGTTCTCCGGTCTCTTCACCTCGACTAAATCCTTTGAGCGCAAGTCCACCTGATCCTGTCTGCGAAGATTGATTGGTTGATGCGTCCGAGATGGTTTTGTCTTTAACCTTTCTTCTAGAATTGTAGTACGTTTGCCTGTGCATCTTTATAACGGGGAACGGGGGATGAGCACTGATATGGTATTGCATGATATGCGTGTCAATCTTAAGAACGAAAGATAACGAATTTCGCACGTTGGGACAAGAGAGGCGACAATTGGGCAAGCATACGTTATGCCCAAGCACAAGGATTTAGATCGTTTTCGACCGATATGTCCTTCCTCCCCTAAACCAACGGTACGCACCGGGAGGGTGGTCGCTCGCGCTTTGTGTGTGTTGTGTCTCCAAACCACATCGACACTTCAATTTGAAGGCCGTTTCATCGTTGACTGATACTTTGAAATCATGCAATAAGCAGATTTGCAAATTAGGTGTTGATGTGGTCAGTTCACTTTCCTATGGCATCAAGGATATGTTTTCCTTGTTGCCTCATCATGAAATTCTTGATGTCGTTGTCGTTAAGAAAAAGTTTGTTTGTGTGAATACGCAAGGCCGCAGTGCCTCCTTTGGCCTTAGCACGGGTGGTGATCACTGGAGATTGTTAGATTTGGGTGATATTCATCGGTTCATTCGCTTTGAGCTCTCTCACACGTATACTCTGGCGTTGACGGTCCTTCTAAAGCAGGAGGTCGGCATACCGATGGGTAAGAGCACCAGCCCTCCCCTAGCATGCATTTTGTGTGCGCAAGTTGAATTTGGGTTTCTATCCAGCCTCGGATCTGCAAGAAGAAACGTCTTTGGTTTTCGGTTAATCGATGATGTGGGTTTGGTGGTGGCAGGCACTCCGCCTGAAAGGATGACCCAGAAAGAAATTTTTGACATTTTTGAATCCTACTATCCGGAGAACCTTACCTTGAAGCGAACTGATAACGGATCCGAAGTCTGGGAATTTCTGGGTTGCGAAATATGTGTGAGCAAGGACCCTCCCTTTCCCTGATCTTTCCACTTATCAAAGAACGAATCCACGATTTGGCTGTGTGAAAAGCTCGCTATTCAGAACGAACAATCCTTTTTCTCATGGTGTAGTAAAGTAAAAAAAGAGACGACTACCTCCACAGGATCGACCAAAATACTACCGATCGATCAAAGATCCCAGTGCGTGTGATAACCTTGAAAAAGAGAGTTACGTACGACAGACGTGCCGGAATGTTTTTTCATCAGAGTGTATCGAAGGTTTCCGCACGCACAGGGTGAGCCATGGGCCTGGATCTCCACCCTTTTGAATATGGATGGTCAGTCAACTAGGGTTGTTTGATTTTTGGCTTCTAAGTCAATTGGCTACGGCCCCTCCTCTGGTTTCCCGTTTGTGCCCCATTCTAGCCCTATGACTTAGTTGCCTGACAGGTCCGCCACATAACTAGTCTAGTTTATTGTTTCGGACCCCCCTTTTTTTCATCTGTAAGATTGAGGCACTGGTAGTTCGAGCCATTCGTTTTCGGTTTGTTTTTTGTTCCCTGGCCGAGCAACCAGAGAAGGTGGCAGACTTCGTCTCGTTTTTCACCTTTTGGCCCTACGGGACCTCGGGACCGGCAGGTTTTCGAGAAGTAGGTGTAGTATAAGTAGCGTGTCTGAGCTGGGTTTATCCTCTTCGATCGGGTAACCGCTCGGGTATGTGGAGTGGCGGAGGTTCTTGGGTGAGCCGGAAAGTCGGCGGTGGATTCTATCTCAATCATTGCATTGACTTTCTCCGATCGTGTGAAGTTTGTGCTTTACTCATCGTGTGATTTGTCTATACTTCTGTGTATTCATAACCTTAATATAGAAAAGGAAAATGCATATACTTGTAGTTTTTTTTTATAAATATATTTTTATATGATATTTGTTTTTAAGCCTTTGTGACATGAAGTTTATAGGTTTTCTTGCTTGACAATCTATCAACTAACACATCACAGTGAATGTTTATTAGAAAGTCTTCACCCACATAACCTTTTTGGAAACAGCAAGAAGAATAAAAGAAGTCAACCACTTTGTGCAGTGCCTTCTTAGAACCTCCTATAACACTTCTGATATCTCGACATCAGAGTAAATCAATAAATTTATTCACTTCTCAATCTGAAATGCCCTCACCTGACGACCTTTGCACTAATAAGACAGAAATGATCAGTTACCTCTCTACGAACTAGTATGAAGATAATTCAAAGAATGCCCTTGCAAAGAATGAACACGCTTCAAGAGAGCGCCCTCCTACCCTGGCTGCCCTCCTGGAACACTCTGGATTCACCCCCACAAGAAGGGATCCCAATTCCCCCTTCCTGCCCTAGACCTTAAGTAAACGCCTGCAAAATGATCATTGAAGCTGTTGACTGGAAACGTCATGGCCGCAAGCGCGCCAGCCTTCGCTTCGGTGCCGCGATGTTTCCCCTCAAATGAACTTACACTAGCACCCCAGCCACATTTGTCACAGTGCATCGCAGAGTGCATGCAGCCACGACTTCGCGATGATCTGGTGGTGTAACCGCCTCCCGCAGCAACTTCCCAAAAACTTCCCTTTCCACTTCAACCTAAGGCGACAAAACTTCTCAAACCTCGGATAGATATGACAAAAAAAGATTAACATCTTGGATCCGCACCAAGTTTCCCATCTATCTTGCCCTGGAAGCTGCAGCGTGCGTGTGGCTGCATCGGAACAAGATAGCTGTGGAATGTACTGTGGGTCCAATGGGTCCAAGATGTAAAATTATTTTTGTCCTGTCTATCCGAGTTCTGAGAAGTCCTGTGGCTTTAGGCTGAAGTGGAGAGCGAAGTTTTTGGGAAGCTGCTGGGGGAGGTGGTTACACCACCAGTACGTCCGAAAGTCGCAGCTGCATGCGCTCTGCGATGTGCTGGGACTAATCCCACCACTCCCCCCGATGGCCAAAAACGGACGCCCTGTGAGTGATCACCCTGATGGTATTCCCCTTGGCTATATTCCCTGATAATCAAAAGAACATAATTTTCCAATGTCCCTTGTTTATCAGTGCCTAGACACTAGCAATGTTGAACTGGTGGTCCATAAGCCCAAAAAAGAAAAAGAGAGAGAAAAAACTAGTCCTCCCCTCCCCCCCCCCCCCCCTCCTCCCCTCTCTCCTCATTTTTAATAACTGGTGGTCCATAATTTTAACAATTAATAACGAAACTGTTCTTTGCTCTTTGGTGAAAGACTGGTGGTCAGTGTAATATATCGTCACATATATATATCGTCGCAAACAGAACTGCCCGGTAAACCGTAGGCAGAGAGAGAGAAGAGGACAACAAACGAGGGGCTGTGACAAACTGTTTCGTATATATATATATATCGTCAAATAGAACTGCCCGGTAAACAGTAGGCAGAGAGGGAGAAGAGGACGAGGGGCTGTGACAAACTGTTTCGTCGGAGTTTATTACATTACCTGATTGATGGATTATATTCAAAATGAAAAACAGTCACGAACCAGTGGGCGTAGCATAATTTTAACGATTAATAACGAAACTGTTCTTTTCTCTTTGGTAAAAGACTGGTGGTCAGTGTTATTATATATATCGTCACAAACAGAACTGCCCAGTAAAAGGTTAACCATAAAGAAATTGGTTTTGTTATATTAGGGTAAGGGAAGGGTATAGCCTAGGGTAGGGCAAGCTATAACATAGGGAAGGGAAGGGTATGTCCAAGAGTAGGGAGGGGTCTATCATAGGGACGTGTAGCTTAGGGCACGTAGGTACACCGTACGGAAGGGAAGGGTATACCCTAGAGCTCAGAGGCTATAGCATAGGAAAGTATAGAAGGGTATACCCTAGAGCTCAGAGACTATAGCATAGGAAAGTATAGCCTCCCACAGGTAGGATATCACCAGGGTAGGGAAGGGTATAGCCAAGCACAGGGCAACGCAATATGCAAGTGTTTTTTCTCTCAGACCTACAATTTTATCCTGTTCATCTGATGCCTTCGGGATTTGAACTCATGCACTGTCTGCTAATAATTACATGTGCCATTCAGGGACATGGCCTGAGCTGCTCGTACTTAATTCTATACAGCCTGATGGTCTACTTTCTTTTCCTCCTCTCAGAAGGGTGATGGCCTTTACGGACCATCGTCAAGCTGACCGGCCACCAGGTAATTCAGAATTACATCATTGCACAGGATTTGAACTCGGTCTGTTCAGCAGCTCATGGGTGTACCAACTGAGCTGTTCAGCAGCTCATGGGTGTACCAACTGAGCTCGGATCGTTGGTCCTTTTTGTTTTTGGTTTGTGAAAACAAAAGAAAATTTCAGAGAAAGCCTAATGGCATTACTTCAATTTATTTGTGACTATACGATAGCTTAAAAAAAAAAAAAAGGAAAAAAAAAAAAAAAAACTAGGCTGCCAGCTGTCCGATGGGGAGATGTCTCCCCCGGACGTCTCCGGGAGATTGTCAGGGGGGAGTTGTCCGGTATCCTGGACAACAGCGTTTTTGCCAAAAACAAACAAACAAAAAAAAGAACAAAAATAAAAAAAAGAAGGGGGAGGAGGGTCTGCGCATCGCTAGGGGACCCCGCAAAAAAAATTCAGTCTGTTCTGAGCAAAAACGCAAAAAAAATCATAAACAGTGAAACAGTCTTTAGGGGTGTGTGTGTGTGTGTGTGGAAGGGGTGGATTGGTAGGGAGGTTTGAATCAATCAATCAATCAATCAATCAATCAAATCAAATATAAAGATCGATCTTGATATTTGATTTGATTGATTGATTGATTGATCTATTGATTGGTCAATTGGTCCAGAAGGAGGTCGAGGAGAAGGTAGCGACGATGGAGGAGGGGGAGGAGGAGGAAGAGGAGGCTGAGGCGATGAAGGGAGGAGCTGGCATACCGATGAGGACGAGGACGAGTCCGCAACGATGGAGGCTGCGGCAATGGAGGACGAGGCGATGGAGGATGAGGAGGTGGAAGAAGAAGAGGAGGCGGCGGCCAAAGCGATGGACGATGACGAAAAGAGGGAGGAGGAGGACGAGGAGGAAGAAGAAGAAGAGGGGGCTGCGGTGATGGAGGACGAGGAAGAAGAAGAGGAGGTGGAGGGGGTGAGGAGGAGGGCACGGCGACGGAAGAGGTGGAGGAGGTGGAGGAGGGGGTGGAGGAGGGCACGGCGACGGAGGAGGTGGATAAGGTGGAGGTGGAGGAGGAGGAAGAGGACGAGGAGGAGGAGGAGGAGGAGGAGGAAGATGAGGATGACGAGCACAGGGAGGAGCGTGAGGAGGAGAAGGATGACGAAGACGTCGAGGAGGAGGAGGAGGAGGAGTAGGAGGATGAGGAAAAGGAGCAGGAGGAACAAACGGAGGAGGAAGAAGAAGATGAGGAGGAGACTGAAGTGCGAAAGGGAGAAAACAAGGAAGAGGAGGAGGAGGAGGTGGCAAACTTGGAAGTCGGAGGCGATGGCGAGTGGGGTTGCGGTGGACAGGATGCGCTTGTGGGAGGCTGCCCAGGCCCCCACATTCGAATTTCAAAATGGCCCAATCTGGGCCATCGATCTCGCAGATCTGACAGCCCAGATTGGGCCATTTACTTTTCCGAATCCGGAGGCCCTATCGGCCTCCAAGAAATTATCCCGCCCGCCCCCCCGCTTCGCCTGTGCCCACAGCCCAGCCCTGTGCTGCCCAAGTTCCCTTCCTACCCTCCCCCCTTAATTCTTTTTACCATCGGACTTGGGACCCCGGGCGGACGGCCGACCGGTTGTCCGATCGGACCGTCCCAGACGGTCAGGGGGTTCCTGGACGTCCGATCTAGTAACGTAGGGAAAAAAAAAGAAAAAAAAAAAGAAAAAAAAAAGAAACAAGAAAGGAAAGACATGCCTTTCCAACTCCCTCGTTCATCCATCACACCTCTTGCTGGCATATGCTGGCATATGGACCCTTCGCTCTTCCTTAGGGACACGAGGCCTTGGGAGTCACTGTATTCCCTCAAACACAGTCCGTATGCATTCACGATCTCAAGGTACGTCGTGCTTGAACGATTTCCAAATAGAGACCACGTCCGCTATATTCATAGCAACTGGCCTGGAAACTGTACCATATATTCGTTGCATCCCTATATTGACCCCTAACATGTAGCACCCATATAATGACACATCCCTTTATTCAAGGGCAAATGGAGAGCCATTTTGTAACAAAGTTTTAGCCTCTCCACTCCACACAGATTTATCTTTTTTTAAATTCATCCAAAAACAACTAGAGATCAGTTCGCTTCTTTAACAGTCAACACATGCGTACCATTCAGTGATCTGGGCTTGGTACTTCAACTTTTTTTTCACAAATGAGAGAAAACACGCATGCTAAACAAATTTTCCGGATCTTTACCATAAGAAACTAGCAAAACAGTATGGACAGTAGAAACAGGGCCACCCCTCCTCGTCGCGCCAAACTGTTTCCCACGCCCCCCCTCCGCCGACACCCCCCCAATGCCATGTCACCCATATTGACTATACACTAGTATATAGCACGATAAGATATAGCACAATAATATGGCACGACAACATGGTATGATAATAGGTATAATGCTCTCATGTTTAGATCCTCGGTCGCTGTTTGTGTTGATGCAATGTGGGTGCCACAGTTCATTCATCAGCATTTACAGAAAACGAAGAGAATGCGAGACGGACATTAATTGACATACTTGAATACATGAAGATTCAGCGTTCAAACACATTACCTCATTTCTCACCAGCTATGCATCATGTGGCTTTGGGAAGCACGCGACCCGGGGCCAACCCCCCCCCCCCCCCCCCCCYCCCCCMCCCMCCCMATCCTCCAATGCATGCCTTTAATTCTCCGCCTGTTGGTTAGTGCGTTGCCTTCACCATTGATCTAGCTTGCAGGTACTACCCGACAACACTCCAACGAATTGAAGCTCTGCCTGTTCGTCAATGCACATGCAGTAACTGAGGAGAGGCTCTGCGTGAACAGCAGCCACAAACAGTGTGGTAAGGCGCACGTGCCCGCGATTGCCGGTTCCATCCTTTGCAGCGCTGAGCAGATGAGCAGAGGAAAAAAGATGAGTTTGGCACCTTGGCACCGCACCAACAAAAAGGGCACAGAAGAGTGAAAAAGCTAATTGGTAGGTAGGTAGTGTGAGGTGAAATCGAGAGAAGAATGTAAATTACTTCCATTTAAAAAAAAAAAGAAAAAAAAAAAGAAAAAGAAAAAAAAGAAGAAGAAGCTAAATGGCCTGGATAAGGAAACAAAGAAAACAAAAGAAAGACAAAATCTAGAGCCTAGAAGAAAAGGGGAAAACATTAAGCTTTTGCCCGGAGGAGGAGGAACAAAAAATGAAAGAGCAAATGAGTAAGAGGACGACGGAAGTAGAAACCTGGAGATAAAGATAAAAAGAAAGAAAAAGCAAAGAAGAAAAGCGAAACAACTGCCAAGTTACCTGGAGAAAAACAAAGCAGCGAGTACGATTTGAAGGAAAAAAAAGGAGTAAAAACTCAAAGAACGGAAAGAAAGAAAGAAATTCAAGATTGAAAAGTACGTTACTTTGAAAAATGACAAGAAGCAAATTAAGTTGCCTGGGGAAACCCAGGAAAGGAAAGAAAGAGAGGGTGAAACCTCCTCCTGGCTCAACAAGGAGAAGAAAAGGGTAAACGCATGTAAAAGAGAAAAACCATAAAAAAAGATCCCGACATCTGGAACAACAAAACGGATATATCCACTGCACACCATTCTACACGTATGCAGACCTGGTACTGGGCCTAGTACAATCAGAACGCTCGATCGCTCCGAATGTATACGGTCCATATCGCAGTCCTGATACCTGTTGAATGTGGCGTAGCGGATCAAGGCCCTATGACCAGTGAGAAGAGGGAAGAAAGCAGGAAAAACTTCCGAAAAAGGGAAAAAGGAGAAAAGGAAAAATGGAAAGCGGGAAAAGGAAAATGTGACCACGAGTCGGGCAAATGAGGCAGCAGGTGTGAATCCCAAATGTCATGTACATGGCGGGCAGAGCAAAAGCTCAGAAAGCCTTTCGGAAAACACCGTCTCCTTGCTATGGCCATTTCACCAGGAAGATGGACTAGGGGCGCATACGGTCGCTTCGACAAAAAGACGTAAATAAAAGTTATCATCACTACTTTCCGTAAACAAACAACCTACCGGACGATCGCCGCCATTACCATCACTGTCATCCCCAATCCTCACCACTTACCTCACCACCACTGTCATCGCCAATCCTCACCACTTACCTCACCACCAATCGTCACCAATCCGGCTGAACATCACAATCATCACTCTGAGTCGATTGCCCTCTCTATTCTCTCTCACAAGCAGTATGAATCCATCAGCGCTCGGTTGGTCGGGTCTGTCTCAGAAAGGGACAACCTGAAATAGAGGCACGCCATCTCACACTCCCCAAGGATAACAGCCGAGATGCAAAACATGAAAATGATGACGAAAATGGAAACAGATTCGATCACACACGTCCACGAGTGATGGCCCCCCATTAGCTATAAGAGCATACTCACACCACAACGTTCTCAAAGGAATCTTGACGCAAACGCAGTCGCATGCGTCCGAGAAAGTTCTAGTGTGAGGGCCCCCTAAAGGCTTCCAACAAACCCACTGAGCTCTGGGGAACAACCAGATAGTCCTTCAAGATGGCCTGACGAGGCGTTCAGCCGTTGGATCCACATCGGCGCCGACTTTCTATCGACTGGATGCCTACACTACATATTCCACAACTCAAAATGCAAGAGCAAACACGAGGGAGGGTTTCCTACCCATTCTCACAATAACAGAGCAGCATACATGTCTTTTCTGTCCTTCTGTCCGTTGGTGAAAAGTATGCACTAGTCCAGCTTCCAGAGCTGAAAACTGGCAAAACACATGGACTTCTACTATTTGTTGCAGCAATCATACCCTGTCATCGTGCTGGAGGCGTGTGCAATAAGATGCTTGCAGAGAGCTGCACCAAGTCATGTAACCCCAACAGCAGCCATTAGCCGATCGTACTCGGAGTCTGAGGTGTTTCCTGCTTGAGCAGCTCCAGTGTCCTGTTTCGCATACGCACCTGGCCTGTTTTGCATACCAGAAGCCGGCGGTAATGAGCCAGGGTGCATGGCAGCATAACTTCCCCTGGACAGGTGTGGCAGAGATCGTCCCCACTCCTCCCGCTCCATCGTATTTGCTCGCCTGGCATCCACAGGGAATGGGTCTCTCGAGGTCAACATCCCTGCCGAGTGTGTCTGCCCTATGTGCACATCAAACCCATCCCTGCGAATCAAGCCTCCATGAGGACCGGCACTGCCACCCCCTCCTGCTCCGGGGCCTGTTAAATGCAGAATCGGGCCACTGCTTGGTGGCAGTGACATACCTTGTCGTGATTGCATGCTGCTGCCAGAAGGCAGATCTGGACTGATGGGGCGTGCAGGCCCGTTTGGACCTGCTCCGCCCTGCAGAGAGCGTGCAAACCGTGCGCGAACAAGTGATTCATATGCTGATCCCGTGGGGGATTGAGAACGGATAAGTCCAGATTCTCCTGGCCGTGGCATGTCGTACCTTGAACCACCAGCGCTGCCATCGGTCAAACCTGGTTCGTCTGCAAGATGGATGGACCCACCTCGTGACAAAAATCTTATGTGTGCCATTGGCGGTGGACTCGGCATCTGGTGCCCCGGCACCTGCTGTCTTGCATGAGCAGAAAAATGACCCCTCTCTGGAGACCTGGGGGGCGACTCCCCATGATGCCTTACTGCATTCCCAAGGATGCCAAACTTGCCCTGCCCTTGTTGACTTGCTGCTTGAAGCCGCGGAGGGGAGAACGACTGACGCTGGGAGTGTATGGCGAAGTACGAGGGACTGCCTGGAGGAGATCTGTTATATGGAGGTGTTCGTGGGCGGCCGTGGGACGGAAAGCAAGAAGCAGAACTGTGTCCACCAAACGATGTTGGGGGTGACCGGTCAGACGGTGGAGATCGGCGCTGCAAATCCCGCGGGGAGAGAGGAGCGTTGCTTGGGTGATTGCGGTATCGCCAGTTTGCTTGCGCTGGTGGCGGCGGCGACATGTTTCTTTGGGGATATCCTAGCCGTTCGGGACTCCTCGGACGGCCAAGACCTTGTCCATAAGGCGAGTGAGGAGACGGGCCCATGTCTCCAAACCTCTGAGGATGACTGGCTGCACCATCATTTGAATCAAACAAGCCCGAAGGCAGTCCGCGAGGATCTTGCATCTGGCCTGACCTGGGACCGATCGAAGGGCTAGAGAGTAGTGGCGGAGTTTGGGCAGAGGGCATTTGAGGTGGCAGCCCAGAAGTACGTCCACGTGGCAAAGCAGCCATTGGCCCAGATGGTGTGCGTAGAATGCCAGAAGACGTCGAATCTCTTAAGTCGCCACCAGGACCTGAGTGTGAAGAAGGTCCGCGCCCAGGCAAGGAGCCAGGAACACCCTGAGCACCTACCGCTGGGCCATGCCATGGACCAGATCCAGGTCCAGAAGCTGGGCCACCTGGCAAAATTCCTGACTGTCTACCTTGCAAAACAACTGGGGACCCTCCTTGCTTTGCCGCTTGATGTGCATTGGGGTGCCCAGGTAGGAGACCTGCTTGCCGGCCATCTGATGCTCCACCTGGCATAGCGACTTGCCGTCCCCCCTCCATTGCGGATGACAGAGCATCCTGCATGTCAGAGGACATCCCATGATTCACACTGCCCATGGCAGTCATCATGCCACCCTGCAACCCAGGGGATCGACGACCATGTAGCCCGCCAGGACCACTTTGCAGGCTACCCAACGGCCCTCGTGGTGCTCCTGACAACACACCAACGTGCATCCCACTCCCATATGTTGCACCCTCAGGTCCTTCCTGCTCCATACTGTGGGGCTTCGATGTTTCACCGAGTCCTCCAGCATGCATCTGGCCAGGTCGCCCCTGCGTCTCCGCCTTCAAGTCATTGCTGGTTCCAAGTCCCATTCCCCCCAGCATAGAAGGCAAGGCCCCTCCGGGTGTAGCGCCATGCTGCTCCCTAAATACAGACATTGGGCCAGATTGTGCCCCCGGTCCAGACCCTTGGCCTGGGGAATGAACTCCTGGTCTGACAGAAGGGCCTGACCACATGTTCAGCCTGGGTGCACCTGGGCCCAACTGCGTATCCGGTGGATGCACAGGCCGAGCTCCTGATTGGTTTGTCATTCGCTGCATCGGTGCTCCTTGATTCATAGCCTGAGGCCCATCCAACTCCGTGGCTGATGGATGCTGGAACTGTGGAGGCGGTCTGACATCAGCCACGGGTGGATGTGGTTGCATACGGGGCCACTCCCCCTGCACGCCGAATGCAGGAGGCACTGCTCCACTTTGTAGCTTTCCTGCAGGACCTGCAAGAACCTGACCAACACCCATGTGGCCACCTGAGTGATGCCGACTTGGTGACATTGCCCTTTGGCCTGGTGCCTGGCCAGAGATGGGTCCCTCTGGCGGATTACCTGTCGACCCAGGCATTGGGCCTCTAGGCGCACCTCCTGACATTCCCCCTGGTGGCGCACCCATCAGCCCCCTAGGATGCCCACCAGCCATTCCCCCTCGAGGACCTGCTTGCATGAAACCTGGGGAGGGCCCTCCCATACCCCCTGAAGAATGACCTACCATGCCCCCTGCAGGGGAAGGACCTCCCATACCCCCAGGAGAATGACCTACAATGCCCCCTGGAGCAGGAGGACCTCCCATACCAGAAGGACCTCCCATATTCCCAGAAGGCGGACCTCCCATACCCCCGGAAGAAGGACCTCCCATGCCACCAGAAGGACCTGCCATATCCCCAGGGGAAGGTCCTCTCATACCACCAGGCAAAGGACCTCTCATAGCACCTGGAGGACCACCCATGGCCCCAGGCAAAGAACCGCCAGGAGGGTTAACCGGAGCCCCTCCTGGACCCCTAGGAATGTTGAGCGGCGGGGTGCCTTCAGGCATCCTTGGGACCAATCCACCATGGAAACCTCCTGGAGGTTCTCCAGTGAACCCCCCACCCTGCGATGCTCCTGCATCAGACCCTTGTTGCTCCCCTGCTTGAGATAAGTGTCCTCTTGGCTGTATGCCTGCTTGCCCTCCTGGTTGGCCACCCCCTTGTCCTGGCTGTGCCCTGCCTGTCAACAGTTGCCCTCCTGGCTGCCCTGGAACTAATCCATGAGCTGGCATATGAGGGTGGTAGTCCATGAAACCCGCCTGTCGCAGGTCCTGTCCACTGGGGTCATTTCCTTTGGGGGGTCCTCCTTGCGGACCCCCCGAAAACCCCACAGGTGGACCTCCGAATGCCCCTGCAAGTGGTCCAGGACCTGCTGGTCCATGCCCCATTGGTGCTACAGCTTGTGTGTCACCTTGGGGCCCAGGCGGTCTTGGTCCTCCAGGGAAATTTGGATTGAACTGGGGATGCAGTCCACCGGATTGCCCTGGAAACTGACTTGGTGCTTTACCTGCTTGCATGGTTGTCTGTGGTGCAGGTGCCGTTCCTCCAGATGGAACAGCTGGCAGGTCAGAGGAGCCTGGGAGGCTTGTTCCCGTGGGAGCACCAGAAACCATTCCACTTACAAGACCTGTTATCGATGGACCTCCCAACCCTGCAGGCGTCCCATTTTGGGGAACTGCTGGAGGTGGTCCAGATAAAGTTCCTGGCAGTGGTCCTTGAGAAGTTTGCGCGGGCATCCGCCCGCCTGACGATCCTGGAGGAAGTCCTGGCGGTGGTTGTGGTGTTGACATAGCAACTGGAACAGCCCCCGGATTCTCGAAGGACGGTGTTGTCATAACACTGCCCGCAGGTGGTCCCTGTTGCATGGGAGCCTGCATCCCCATCTGCCCAGGTTGCATTTGTAAAGGCGGCGCTGGTGAAGGTCCTGGTGGAGCAGATGTAGGGGGCGGTGGCCCGGCCACAGAAGCCACTTGCATACCTCCAGGAGAGGGACCCATTGGCAAAGGTGGTGCCATCATAATGGGAGCACTTCCTTGAGCAGCAGGGGGCCCTTGGGTACCTCCAACCATCATTGGCGCCATAACCTGACCAGAAACTGCTGGTGGGGGCTGGTGTGGTGCCGCTTGCACTGGGACTTGTCCAGGTTGAAGAGGTTGCTGAAGCGGTGCACCTTGGACTGGGACTTGACCGGGTTGAACAGCTTGCATTGGGAGCTGAATCTGAGGCTGTGGGGGTCCTGAGGCTTGATTTGGCCAGGGGTTCGGAGCTGCAATTGTTTGCTCCCTTTGGGACCATCCCACAGGGGGTGCACCAGATGGTTGAAGCATCTGACCCTGCGGCATCATCGGCGCCATTGCAGCCTGTGGATTTGACATCATTGGCACTGGCTCCATTGCCCCCCCTTGAACTTGTGGTTGTCCTTGCCATTGCATTTGATTTGCAGAATGTGGCATTGGCATTGTTGGGTTTTGAAGCTCGGGACCCGTGGGGGCCACCTGACCCTGGAATGGCACGAACTGCTGTTGATCAACAACCTGCTGGGGGTATTGGACATACTGGGGATGCTGTTGTTCAGCTGCTTGTTGAGGGTATTGGATGAACTGACCTTGATTTGGATCCTGTCCCGGCTGCGGAAACTGGCCATACAGAACCTGCTGCAGGTGCTGCTGTGGTTGCTGTTGTGACTGAGGAATCATCTGCTGCTGTTGACCTGGATTCATTGTCATCATCTGAGGCATCATGACCCCAGGCATGGGCCCTTGGACAACGCCGTAGCCATCCATCATATATGGCCCAGAGAAGAAGCTGCCATCAGTGGCACTCATCTGCGCACCTACATTCACCATCATTCCTGTGTTTGGATCGATTGCAACGTTCTCTACCCCTCCATTTGGAGCCCAGAAGGCCATCTCTCCACCCATTGGGCCCATAGGCTGAAAACCCATTGGAACAGAGCCATCCATAGGCATGATGAGCCCCTGCCCAGGTCCCATATTTTGCAGAGGAACCTGCCCAGGTCCCATCGAGTGCATAGGCCCAGGAGGAAAACCAACTGGGCCCATTCCTCCATTGACGCTGCCGACAACAGCACCCCCTGCGAAACCGGCTGGGGCTACGGGTCCCGCAAAACCGGAAGAAACCATCTCCCCCGGGAAACCTGCCGCAACTGCTCCCCCTGCCGGAACTACCCCATTTACCACCTGTGGAGCAACCCCTGACCTTGCCGCCTTCAATGCTGCTGCTGCTGGACTGTCAATATGATCTGCATACTTAGCGATCTCCTCTTCCGAGGCCGCCTCCACTGCTGCAGCTCCCTTGGTGATAGCACGTGCCACTGCCAGAGCCCAAGCGGGCGGCATTGGCTTCCCCTTCTCGTCTGCGTTCTCGGATCCCCCCAACACATTGTTTCCACCCGCACTCAGTTGACCATGACCGCCTCCAGCGTTCGCGGGCGGAGGGCTGCTCAATCCTGGAACCCCTGGCTCAGCCGATAGCCCCGGCACACCGGGCTCTGGTGGAAGAGAGAATGCTTCGGGATTCCCAGCCACAGGAGGAAATGCACCTGGAAACATATAATGACCTGGCATAACAGGCATGGCACCTGGAAACATGTTCGGACCGTTCAGACCAAGCGGCGATGGGAAAGGCCCTGGAATGGGACCAATAGGCACCATCGTAGGGGGCATGGCGCTAGCACCGAGCTCTTGCAGAAAGTTCCTGTACTCGTTGTCAAGCATCCTTGCCTGTTTCATAACATTGCACACCACAGGGTGTTAGACACAAACCATAGGGTGCTTTCTTTTTTTCCCTCCCTGAGTCCCCTGAGAAAACACCACACAAACCACTCGGTGCATTAAACAAACAACGTCGGTTGCGATGGCTTCAAAGCACGTACCCAATTTCAGGAAAAGGAGGCGGTGGCAGAGGAGGACAACGGGACAGACAAGAGATGGAGGTACGAGGAAAAGGAGGCGGCGGCATCCGGACTGGTCCAAATATTCCGGAATATTCCGGTTTTCTGGAAGTCCGGATGGACCCAGGAGGTGCAGAGTCTGAGGTCCGGAGTTCGGTAAAAGCAAATATTTCTGAATTGTTGCCATCACCCTTCACAAGGAAAAGAAAGAAAAAAACGGGAACCGATGCCCATACCTTTCGTGCAAGTTTCTTATTAGGACAGTTTGCAGTTGCATGCCCATCATTGTGGCAGACGTCACACCGCACCTGTTAACAAATCAACCCCCCATCAGACAAAATCAAGAAAGTCTGTCAGATGTTTCTTTGCAAAATTACAATTCGTGTGCGGACTACAGGTTCACTTATTGCAGAGCGGGTACAACTGTATGTGTTAGGAAGTTGCCCACAGTGGGCGGAGGGAAGAGAACAACACAGAGGATGCATACACTAACAGAGGTCAGCCCTCTGTGACCAAGAACAGATAAAATACTGAGAGCCAATAACTACCGTCTTAACCTGAATAGAACGGCCGATCATTATCGCTGCACCTGGATTGAAAGTTGCCCCAAATCCAGCTATAATGACCGGGCGTTCTATTCGACTGAAGATACTAAGCCCAGAACTGAAGACTGAAAATAGTACAATGGCTTAAGGAAGAACTTCAAAAACCTGAATCCTGACTGAAAATCCACTACTTGGCAAGAACCGTGTGCATCGAGAAGAGCACAATTCTATTTCTCAATATTTAGATCTTGCTTTACCTTTGGTTCATGTCCAGTAAGATTGTAGTTCACGCATTGCCACTCCCGATGAGTCCCTTCCCCGCAGAGCGTACAGATTTTGCCAGAGTCGTGAAGGTTACCTGATACATAAACCAATCACCACAGATGTCAACAGGTGAGCCTCACTGCTGAGAGCAAAACCCCACTCTTCACCAACTCTGGAAAAAAACATTTGCCGTTGCTTAACATTTGCGTGTGAGCCATGCTTGGTTGGTGAGGAACGCGGAAACGGAAGTAGTGCTCATGAGCAGAGGAAAATAAAAAAACACAACTAAAAAATGTGCTTTCAAAACCATCTGCTCGCAGTCTTCCAGCTCACAGTGCTGCAGGGGTTTACACTGCTTCTCTAAGAGTCACGAGCCTTTACTCACTTCGAAAGGCCAAAAAATGGCAGCCATTACATTTATTAGTATGAAGTTACAATGAAGTTATTATGAAAGCTTATAATCAATGACTGATTTCCGCAAGTCGACAAAAAAAATATCCTCTAAGCCCAAGCAATTCAATTACCTGTCAAATCTGGACAGGACGGCCTTTCAGGCCTTTTTTATTATCATAATCTAGGCTACCAGCTGGGCCGCCCGGGTTACCTTGTTCGCCGGGGCGGCCCGGCCGCGCAACGACAAAAATGCAAGGAAAATAAGCAACAGCGAGATGACAATTCCAGATCACACCATCACATTGAAAGCCAGATAGTCACACCGTGTCCAGAGCGCAGCATTGCACCAATAATACACCAATGGAGGTTCGTAGCACTGAAAACCAATGTTCATGGAGAGCATACTCCTCTCAACACAAGAGTCCAGTTCCTTCACACTCTCACTTGGCGCTCAGCGCCCAGCCTACTCCTACACAGCTACTACAGACTACAAAATGACAATGCAACTGTTGACATCAGCGGCAGCCCGAAGTACTGGAAGATGTCGCCCATGCAGACCATCGCCAATACAAGGTATGTGCCCTCACATCATCATCATCATCATCATCCTTCACCTATCCCCTGACTACACCCACGTCTGTCCTCTGTTTCACCCGAAGACCACCCCTGCGCCTCACTGTAGTCCAAGCCCACCAGCTATGGTGGCTGGGCTATGGCGCTGCCCTCAGCAGCACCCTTCTTCCCTGCACGACCGCCTTCACTTAGGGCGGGTAATGCTGCAAACAGGGCCCCATATGGTGGCTGGCCTATGGCGCTGCCCTCAGCAGCGCCCTTCTTCACTTAGGGCGGGCACCTCCGCCTTCACTTAGGGCGGGTAATGCTGCAAACAGGGCCCCATGGGCCTGCCGAGGACCCAGATCCTCGCAAAAAAAGGTCCCAGCACAAAAAAAAAAAACTCTGAAAAAAAATTCTGTTGTGCAGAAAAATAAACTGAACTACTTTTGCCTCAGGGTCACATTGAAATTCTTTACCAAATTTATTATTATTATTTATTATTATTTTATTCTATAATTTATCTTTTCATTTTCTTTGGCCCAGCCGGGCAAGTGGTCCCGGACCAATCTGGTAGCCTAGATGATTACAGTATTATGGGGAACCCCGTCGCAGCCAGCCCGATTTCAAGCCTCCAACGAGGGAACATTACCCGACCTGCAGGTGGGCGATACCTGCAAGGGTCAGCCGGTAGCATCAGGACGGTGCTTCTGTGACGGGCAAGCCGCTGTGCCTCCCCTCCGGTCCCCTCCCTCTGCAAACATCAGGAGTCTTTGCTGAATGCCGCTTGGACGGGACCAATGGTCCCCATCTCCAGCTGATTGGCGCCAAGCTTGCCCAGGAAGGAACATAAGGCGAATGGGGATTGGACCCAATACCTCTTGAATGCCAATAGTGTGCCTTACCGACTGCGCTAGGTCACTGGATATGAAAAACATCTCAGCAGCACAGATGCAAATCCTTCAATACAAATGAGGTGCCCCAAATCGCCAACAGTCCACAGCTGATGTCAGTTCACTACACTTCCTCAGCAAACGGGGTATTAAGACCATCAAGTTCGCAATGCGAACCTTCATCTTGAATCCACATTTAGTTTTCTTCACATGACAACCACAGCTCATAAGCGTACAGACTCCATGATGTCCCCTGCTGCTCAAGCTGCATGTACTCGTACTATGCCTGCCTCTCTCTCTCTCTCTCTCTCTCTCTCTCTCTCTCTCTCTCTCTCTCTCTCTTGTGCATAAATACCTGACATACCCTCACCTGCACCCTGTCCTAACATTATCTTAACCCACCAGTATTTGTGACCCTTCTCGTGCATAAAGACCTGACATACTCTCACCTTCACCCTGTCCTACATTATCTTAACCCACCAGTATTTGTGACCCTTGAGCCTCGAAACACCCTCCGCCAAAAACGAACGAACTGGCACATTTTCTTTTCTGGCTGGTGCTACCAGCCATTTCGATCCGGTAGGCGGTGCACCAAAGGTCGTGGCGCATAGCATACATGGCTGCATCAGAGAAAAATGTCTGCGAAACCTGCCAGTGGTTTAAAAGGAGTCCAATTCGAATGGAAATCCTTCTAGATCTAGCAAGGAAAGGATAACGTGCAAGAAATGACTTGATGGTGGTACTTCAACTTACCTCCTATTTCTGAGATCCCTTGAAAGAGCTGCTCGTCTTGGCAACAAAAAATGCATCAGGTAGTATCTCCCAAACCCTGTGTCTAGTCATTAGTTTTGCATGGGAGAGCCCCTATGGAAAAGGGTGATACAGAACCTGTGGAAGTTGGACCAGCCGATGACTTTTTGAAACTCAAAAAGTTAATTTTTTGAGTGGTTTCCTTTCCAGCAACTGTTTATTAGTATTACAATTATTATTGTCATTATAATAAAATGGTCCGATGGACCACTGATCACATATTAAATTGAGCAGAACAGATACTACACTTGATCTTCGCATAAGGCGGAGATGGAGTGGAGCGATAGCGCGCGATCATGGGCTTTGCTTTGCTTTTCGTCTTAGCTGACAGTTTGTCCCCTCATGCAACTTATGCCCATTTGTATCATATTTGCTCGCCTTTGTCCGGCCAAGCTTGCCCAGCCACGAACATACCGAGTGACTTGCAGCCTTTGGGGGAGAGCATTAACCATCGGATTATGAATGATGACGAATTACTATTACAGTGATTACATAATCCTAAACTGGAAAGCTTGCCCAGCTGCAAACGTACCGAGTGCGTTGCGACCCAAGAGGGAGAGCATTCACCATTGGACATTCAATGATGTTGAATTACTATTACAGTGATTACAAAATCCTAAGCTGGAGTAGACCACAATGCTTCCTGACTGCCATGGTAAATGGTGGAAGAGTCCTGATCACCATGGTAAATGGTGGAAGGGTGACTTCGTCAATCTCTCCATGCCTGAATGAGAAGTTGGGATAAACAACAGTCGCTCTTAATTGGGGTTTAATTACCATCGAAGAAGCTAAGTGATCGAAGAGGTAGTTTTTTGAGCGTGAACAAAAAAAAAAGGGTTCTTGGAGCAGTTTTCAAAGACAATAATCAAGAGAAAAAGCTAGCTCAGCCTAAAGGGAAACCTCACCTACTGAAGTATCGTGATCCAGCCGACGGAAAGACGTTGTCCCCACCAAGCAGCGGCCTAGACTCCGCCGGCCTTAACAGACTATTATTGAATGTATTTTTTCTCCTTCCGGTAGGGTGAGCCGGACTGCTGTACGAGTGTTGTTTTTACTACAGAATAAAATGTAATCTATCATTTCTACTGTGCTGTGGTTCTGCAGCAAGAAGAAAATTTCAACAGCTACATTCTTCTCCGTCGTTTGTCAACTTCCCTCCCTCTTCTTCCCCGCTTCTTCCCCTCCCTCCCTCTCTCCCTTTATATCGCGCCTTCTCAATCGCCAAGTGCTGTCATCACAATTTATGTCGTTACAAGTCTTTTGCAGTTACAATTTCTTGACCGTTCCATGCACAGTCCTGCAATTCTAAAATTTCCCGGACCTTTGAACCATTCATATAATTCAATGGCGAGTGCAAACATATTGTACAATTTGACTGGGTTAGGCCAACGGCCGGTCCAGACGGACGGGTCACGGGGGGGGTCCGTCCGGCAAAACAAGACGAGCCAAAAAACCTCCTGGGATTTTCTTTTATTTATTTTTTGAAGATGGGGTTGGGCTTCGCTGAACCCAAATCCGCAGAGAAACTTGTTGTTTCGGGG